GCTGAGGAGTCCCATACTAAGACGAAACAGCTATCCAGTGCTCCCAGGTCTCTAATGTTTCTCCAACTGATGTTACTCTATGATGAATACCTGAAATCAATAAATCCTCACAAACCTCCAAGTGGGAGTAAATTTTATATTTGCAATAAGACTGTATCAAAACATGATCATAAAAAAACTGAATACTTCTCGTTTATTCGGGACTTAGAGGCTGATAACCGGGGGGAAAAGTAAAGAACTTAAACCAGTGACTGAATGAAACATAGATTATTTCTTGTAGATTTGAATGTGCTCTTCAACTTAGCTGAAAAACGATTTGGATTCTTCAGAATCCTAACAACCTTTTGATTGTTCAAAGTAATAGTTCAATTTTAGGATCTCGATAAGTCTGAGTGCACGAATGTACTCCTTCATTCGCCATCCATAGTTTACCGTTGATTTGAAAATAATTCCAAGGTGACTTACAAAGGAATCAATGGTATTCCGAGACTTGTAAATTAAGGTCATTGAAACATAACCGGTTACATGGACATTACAAATACACCTATGCTGTAGTAAAGGGAAGAGAGTGACGAGCGGTTACCAGAACTCACAAACCTGATAATGTATGTAGGATACTGAAGATAATATTCAACCCCATAACCATAAATGGGGGGGGGGGGGAATAACAATCTAAACCACGTCTAAAATGTGCTATTATCCTTGACAGTTCCCCTAAATGATCATCCGTTCATAACCTAGCAGGGAAGTCTAAGTCTCCAGCATCATGCGGTAGGAATGTTCTCACGAAAATGAAACGGCGAAAGCGAATATCTGGTCCAACCTAAGGGATTCGTTAAACTATGATTCCGAAAAAATGGTTGCATTTGAACTAGGGTCTGGAACGAACGACTGGTTTACTAACATACTCAAGTCACCAAAGGGATGCAGCTTTTCACGTTGCTCTGTGCCTTATGGACTAGATTTCAAATCAAAAGTTAGAAAAGTGATCTCACTTGCGTAGTAGCAGCCCTGAAGTGAAGTGGAGAACAAGTCACAATAAAGTTTTCGTATAACTAACCACGCATTCTTAGAAGTAACTAAACTTATTGCATTATGAACTCAGTACCAAATTATTCAACCTATCTGTAGTATATCACCGCCTTTATTTTCAGGTAGGAATTGCATTAATCCTTGTGTTTCTTTTCAACTGTCTCTACGCGTATCTTTATTTCATACAACTAACAATCATCGGTTGAAATTAGTCTGCTTGAACGATTTCGAGCTGCTAAATAGTTGCTTCCAATGCGACATCTGAATAAACTATTCTAAATCACACTAACTACTCAAGCTTCCCGCCTTCAACATTCGGATCCGATCTCACAGAAAAGTTTAGTCAGCACTCTGAAAAGCCTCACCATCGATGCAGACTATATGTCAAGGAATGGTATACAAGATCCCAGTCAAATGATTTCAATAACTTCTCCGTGCATTAGCTTTAAGTGTTTTATGTGGGCATATGCAGAGACCATTTGGCGTCAGTGTCGTATTGAATGCTAGAACTGGAACGTTACTGGTCGATTAGACCCTAAACAAGTGCTATCGGGTGCGTTATTAGGCTAAAAGACTTGGTCACAGTTAGCAGTAACTTGTAAAAAGAGGAACATGTTTTCATCATCTTTATCCACTGGACTGTAGCCCCGATGCAGCCAAATGACTGAATCGACAGTTTTCCCAACAGATATCGTAGAGCTAGTTACTTACTTGAATGCGTGGATTAAGCATCTATATTCTGAGAAAAGCTATTTAGGCAACCAACGTGGATAATTCGGTCGTATGTTAGGTCAAAAAAATCGTTTTCTGAAGCTTTGTATAAACCACAACCTAATTCTAAACAGCACCATATTTCGCTAAGGTCGTAAATAATTCTGCCACCTAGTGTTTCTTGCTTGCAGTAAATCGTATTGCAATTGGTTTTCGACGGCGCTGGTGTGTAGGAATTGCCAATGCTTCTATGACATTTGCCTAGACTCTGACCATGCGGTAATACATTGGTAAGTTATGCAGGTATGAAAAATCGGTATAGGGAAAAATAGTGACACGTTAATCTGAAACTCAGTCTCATAATATAAATAGGAAGTTGTTGTTACTGTCGTCTTACTGAATAGCAATAGAAGGGACTATAAAGCTGCAGCATGACTACTTGTTTTGATTTTAAAATATGCCTGACAATGTCTCAAGCGACTTACAAGCGTACTATCTTAGAACCTACTCAGAGAGTTGTGAAGTACAAACATGCTAAACCAACAACGTTTCGTCACAGTGTCATCCCCAGACCACTTTTACGCCTTTTCCAAATGTCCTCGGGTTCGTAAACAGTGAACAGTATGTGAGCCAATCAGAAGAGATTTGAAACAGATCCAACGAACCAGAATAACATTATCCAATGGATGACAGACCACGTGTACGCAATGCCTGACCTCGAAACCGTTCACACAATGCTGCATCAGGACGCATTTAGTCTCACATGAATGACGGTAAGGAAATACGCAGAGTAGTCAAACATCAACGGACTGAAGACAAGATATCGCACAGTAGGAAGGCAGAGCTACTGTCGTCGAGGGATCGTGCGTCCGACTATTTGGAGTTACACTAACGCCATGATGGAATTATGCTTTTGTGGCTTTCGATATACAGCTAAAAATTCCATACGTCATACCTCCACTAGCGTTGATACAGCTAACCAAATACATAAACCCCTCAGATACTTTCAATGACTTACTTCCAAAGATGAATGCTGTTATAGATGTCTCAATCAATCTCAACATAGGACTAGGTATTACTGCATAACAGTTCGTTACCACACCTCATATCAGCACATCAAGTGCAAAGTAATAAGATGAAAATAGAAAGAAAGGAAAATCGATCAAAAACAGCAAAAGAGTGGGAGGAAGAAATGCTGAATTCAGTATAGCGGTACAGGATGAGGACGAAGTGCGGATACATTTGCGCCACTGACATCGATTCTGAGTTATATCATCTAGTGTTTCTAACTAGTGGCTTCTGTTGTCACGTTGGCCCTAACTGCCAAGTCTGCATCTTCCAAATACCTCAAACCAACAGTCAAAGACTAAACACAGTAATCCCATGTTTCAGTCTGGCCACTCCGAACCTTTTCCCAGCTTGAGCATACTTTAGCCAACACTGCCCGACAAGGGATACGCTGACTAGGCATGCGTAACATATATCCCAGCCATTTCAGTCAATGACGGTTAACAACCTCATCAACTGACTTCCAATCCTCCCCAAAACTCTACACCTGACTTCTGCGTTACTCACATAGTAACACCACGACACAGCTTATGCTACGAGGCCAACGATGGTCAAACACCGGAAGCCTTTTCATGTTTCCCAGCCATAAAGTGGAACAGAACGAACTCATGTGTATCCCAGAACCCCGTGAAAACACATTCCATTTCGACGGTTTAAGGAACATGCCAAACTCACGGACACTGATCGTCAACTGATCAGGCACAATTTGAGTGACCTTCAGTTGGTTGCACGGTGAGTTGGCACACACACCGAGTCGATGCGTCCTTATCCTCACAGTAAACCTATACCATCATCTTGTATTCGTCAAGATGACTAGCAGTGGAATGCTGGACGTACGCTTCGTCCTGTTTGGGACTCGCCAGGTGGATGTACCTCAAACCCAGTGAGCAATGTTGTCCCCAACGAGACTCAAACTCAGTACCCATCGCTTCAAACTGCAAAGCGTTACCCACTAAGCCACTGGGGTACGATATCCAACCCTTGTGCAACGGGTGTCAGCAGTTGTTCGATACTTGTAATTCTCACTGGGGTGCAGGTAAATCCAACTGACGAGTCCCAAATAGGATGAAACACCCATCTTGCATTCTACCGCTTGTCACAACGATGAATACAATATCACGAATATCCGACGGTATCGAGGTATCCGTATAGGACCCCACCTGTCAACAGAAGTCCAACAATTCGACCCTGTGTAGAAACGGGAAGTTACAAGTAGCAAACAACTACATCATCACCATTGTAGACACCTCTTTTACAGCTGACGAAATTGGGGTGCCCAATCAAACCCGTCTACTTGGAACAAAAGAGAGAGGCGGTCGTATGCCTTCATTCTACTTAAAGTATTTTTGTACATGGCTCTTGAGACGTAATTTTTTTCAGAAGTCGAAATCCACTCAGTAACCATATGCATATTCTTGTATTAGGCAATGAGCAACACTTATTGTGCAACAGCTAATGATACCACCCGGCTGCACAAACCCCAATAGGTGAGGCGGTGTTCGAACTCACGTCCCAGTGGTTGGAATTCGATTCACTCAAGCAGTGAGCCATGACTGCACTTTTCCACTAATCCACGTCTAAGACAGAATCTCAGGCCAGAGGTAAGCCAAATTTCAAGGAATGCAACGATTGAAACATGCATGACAGTATTCAAATTTGTGGCGAAGAGTGAACACGTGATCAACAATGCATCGAACACTTGAACCAAAGATAGCCTACTTCATGAATCAAGTTTTCGGGTGTTTTGCAATGCCTGCGACTTACAACAAAAGCCAATATCTTGGATGGGACTATTAACAGACTGATATCCCGATGGTTGTCGGGGTCACTGTGTGGAGCTTTTTTGAAGATGATAATGACCTGATTCCAGATTGATCAAGCACGATTATTCAACTAAACCTTTACAAATAATCTAGTTGATTTCCTGACTAGTCACAGAATTACTTAACATGAATGAATACGCAAAAGTAGACAAGAGTTAAGAACTACATTTTATCTAATGCTATGTTTCGTATTGAAAATTCAGCCAGTGTCATATATATTGCATCACTGAATTCTGCTACTAGATGAGTTCTCATTTCAAATCCAAAAGTGAATCTTTAAAGGTCAAGAATAATCTTACGGCTTAGCCCACTCAAGCATTTATATATATAATTTGGTTTGTCATCAATATATAAAAGATAGAAAATAACAAAGATGAGTAGAGCTCTTTTATTTATCAAAATGCAGAAGTATCAAAATGTAAACCACTTTCTAGAACCTTTGATACGATGAAATTTCTCAGGTTCTGACTTATTGGGTGCCACAACAATCTCTTTAGACTCAGGAATAATATCTTCTGACAATTTTTCGATGATTTCTGTTGGACGTTTCTCTTTAAATATATCTGGAAAAGTGAAAACTTCACCTGGAGCCTTGAAAGAAAATTAAATATTGGAACATCAATAAACGGAAAATCTCCAGTATTAAGTTACTGAACAAAGGCTTCATAGAGAAAATCTTGTCACTAACTACAGCTGGAACAACCCAACGTACATGCACTGGAAATAAATGACAGTTTATTATTGATCAGTAGGGTCATATGATTACTATAATGTTCAACAGGAGATTAAAAGAATTGTTCCTAAAGAGTGCCATGGTAAGGCTAACGACTGTACATAATGTTCTGAACACAAAGATCAGGGAGGCAACCTGTAAATTACTTTGAGGAAACAACTAAAAGAGGTCAGATATTCTATTTTTGAACACATCTTTAGAGAAAAATAATTCCCAGTCACTAAACTGACTAACAGTTTGGGTTCCGATTTTAAAAACTAAATACGTAATACAATAAGAGGAGGTGGGAGGAGGATAGTAATATGAATACTAAGGTGATTTGGTGGTGGTAATCCTGATTAGTAGTGTAAGTAGACATGCCTGTTAGATGGAGTGTGCTATCTAATTTGCCAGGTGAACACGACAAAAACAAAATACACGGAGAGGCGTATAACGAAGCTTTGCGATCAAGCTGAACTAATCCACTTTCCATATAAATCCCCTTCCAAGGTGTGAACAGCTGAGAAATATCAGCAGCCCACAAGCTTCACAAAGGATGCAAAACCTACTTAACGTGACAAACATACACTAACTTTGTGGCTTGTCTTCACTAACTGCTCATGCTATCCAAATTAGGTTTCTTACAGTTTCCTTACACGAAGCAACTCAAGTTATCTGGAAGCAAACGTTATGGCTTCGGGAATTGTGGTAAGGGTTACTTATCAGTCCTAATATTCAACCAATAACTAAGACCGATTCCATATTCTTAGTTCCCTCAGTTTCCTTGAGTGCACACACATGCCAGGGCTAGTATGCGGAAAAATTGCACTGAATAATAAGCTTTCAGAGATTAAGATAAAAAGACAAGTTGTCATGCGATATTTTGCAATGATGGAATAAAAAAAAGCTATCTTTATTGGCGTGAAGTTATGATAAAAGGCTGAAGGTTTCCCAAATAGTCTATGAAGTAAAGCACGACCTTCCGATTATATTGTTTGCACTAGTTTTATTCCAAGTGAGTTTTAGAAATATTGAATAGCTGGCATCCTTACAGCTGAATCTAAATGTTTATAATGGTCGCTCATGTGGATACTAAGACGCAGTTATGTACATGAAAACATAGTATTTAAATCACACTTTAAAGAGTAACATTTAATTACATATAAGGATAAGCATTCAGAACTTACCAAACGTACGTAAGCAAACTTTTCATAGCGTTCAGGTTTAGGTGGATAGTCTGTAGAGTCTAAAGAACGTCCCGAACGCTCCTTCTGTGGTATGTCCACTGGTGGTACTACACAAACAACTATAGAATTATTAGAAATTACAGTCATGATGAACCATTTTCACTCGAACATCTGCAACAGGAACACTATATATCTTCTCAAGATACTGTCGAACATTATGGGCAGTCATTCTGAGATTATACGTTACTAACTACTTACTGTGGATGAACTTTAAAAACAACATGATCGGGGGATTTTTGGGACCTGGATACATCATTTTCATCCAAAATGGTGGTAAGAAGCACTTTACAGGCGGGTCTCCTGGAGAAACTTTAGGGTATTCTACTTGCCTCATCCACAAAGGACTACAAGTAAGACTAAAAATCTCTTGAATTTATACTTACAAGTAATGCGTTGTCTTTGGCAAACATATCGGGCGAATAAATACAACAGGTCGCACCCCACCCATTCAAAGTTCCTGGAGGTCTCATTTCAGGTTTCAATACCATTTAGGATCATACGTGGGTAAAGAGTTATTGTCCTTGACTTTTCTGTGTGGGAAGCGCAAACTAACACTAAGTTGATTTGAACGAGATTTCTGAATTTTCTTTTGATGACCTGGAAGTTTATATATCTTTGAGGGAGAAAAGAAATGAGATGCATCAATTCCAAAATTATTGTTACGCATACGGAATGCTGGTACTCTGTCCACTCCGCTAGTCCAGTATCCCACCCTAACTCAACGGTAAAATATCTTGTCGCTGTAGGAAAGGCTAGACAGGACGGCCATCAGCTCAGAACCGAATACTAAAACTATGCTCGTCTCACAAGAATTGGCTATCGTGGCTCGGCGGTCTAGTGGACAACTCTCTCGCGTTTGAAGCGATCGCTACCGGGTCTGAGTCCTGGTGGAACAACATCACTCACTGGGAGGCAGGTAAATCCAGCTGACGAGTCCCGAATAGGACGAAGTGCGTATCCTGGATTCCACTGCTAGCCACTTCCCATAATTATTATACAAAATTAAAACCCCGGCGAGTTCGCATCTCCTATGAACCAAGGAACGGCCATTTAAGTGCAATGTTTTGGATGAGGTCAAAAAAAGTGGGATAGAATATCCAAATAACATCTTCATCAAAGAATTTGAATGCACTGTGAAGAGGCCGCAATATTCAAAACCATTTGTTATAGCTTTCGCTCAGTGCACAGACGTCTTCAGTTTAAGGCTGACTATAATTCCTGGTTCTAAGTTCGCGGACTTTCAGTAATCGTGTCTAATTTATCACATACTGATGACAGCCTCTATGACCAATATGCATAGCTGAACATTTGTCACAATTCATGTTTGGACACCTATGCCTGAACCCCTCGACCAGTTAATTCAGGTTCACTTTCAGTGCAGATCTGTTGTCATCGTCGTGGATATCCCACCATAAAATCATGTCACCGTCAGAAAATAGCACTGACGAATCGGTCATCACCAAAAGTCCGTTGACATGGAGTAATAAAAAGATGAGACACAAAAGTGTTAGCAGCAGAAGCCCACTCCTCACAGATCACCACTTAGAAAGCACTCCACTCAGTCACTGTTTGTCCTTGTTGCACGAAACGTCGTTAGTTCGAGCTTGCATTCGCTCGTAAACCTGAAGGTTGGCAGCCTCTCCTCAAGCTTGAAAACTTATTCCAAAGCCTTACTGATGTCCTTGACCGCATCATCTAAGAACCTCTTTTGTCACGCGATGCTACCTATTCACTTCTGGTTTTGAATGGGGCTGGCCAGACAAGACCGACCGGTGCGAAAGCCATTTTGTAGCGGCAAGGGAAGACCGTGATTTTGATATGTCTGGACTCCTTGTGCATGATAACCTCGAATACTTCGCTGATTAAACTAGCAAAGCTAACGTTACCACTACTGGGTACCAGTTTTCTTAATGCCTACCCTAAAAACTGGGGTGGTTATAGAATCTTCACATTCCTTAGAAAGCTGAGTCTCACATTGGAACATGAGGAATAGCACGGTGAGGGTTGCAGTAATCATCCCTTCCAAGAAGGGTAATAACCTCGAGTATTACCCATCAGAAACCGGAATTCCTTCTGCCCAGGGTTGAGCAGTCGCCGTGGTGTAAACCAGGCCTACTGGTGTGAGCAGTCCCGGCAGCACTGAGCGTCGTGCTAGGATTTCCGCCAGGCAGGAAAAATGCACTGAAGAAGTCAGGGGGACTTCTGCCTTTGCACAAACTGGACCTAACCAGCTAACCCCACTGGTCAGATAAGTGGGACAGCACTGCCTCGTCTTGCTCTGTTTTTAACGTGTTGGGGCAACCGCTCTGAGGGGCTTGACAACCAACTTCAAGTTGCCCCTCGAATGTCACTCTGGACATCACAGCCACTGATTTGCACGTGTTCCTAACCTTACGGTGTGCCGTATCAACGTTCGGCGAAAGGTCAACAAGATATGTCCCATAACGTGTCTTCCACATTCAAGGTTTCAGTATTCTGTACTGAATCCTTAGACATGGAAGGCGATACCATCTACGCACAGGCGTACATGAGGTGGAATATGAAGTCAACGCCTCCTCTAACAAAACTTCAAAAAATTTGACCTAGATGTGTCATTATCCAAATCCAGTTTAATACAATTGCTCAATCCATGATAAACGGCAGGTCCGCACACCACACATTTTGTCGAAGGACTGGTGAATTTTAACCTAAATCGTACGCCCAAAACTTAAGAAGTATCACTACTTGATCGCTATTAGAAATTGAACGTAAGTGTTGAAGATCAGGTACTTCTTGTCTTTAATTTGTAGAAACCAAATCTAGGAGTGGTGACTTACGCTTTGGGTCAAAATGAGATGTACTGATAGCTTTCTGGAATAGAGGACTCTCTAGAACAAACAAAAGTAGGTCCCTATCGAAGCAGCTGAGTGAATTTGAGGAAGTGAGCCCAGTCCCACTATGTACTCTGGGTTTAGACTACCCAATATTGCGCATCTGTTATTATCACTCCATTCACACTTGTGGCTCATTAATTTTATGTAGAGCATGGACACTGGTAAATAACCAGAGTTTCGACTACTTCATCAAATAGAATGGTTCTGAAGCTTACAACCATTACCATTCGCAGGTGATGTCATAATCACCTGCACAGGTCGACTTTATACATACGTCCATACGGGTTGACTGTTAAACTCCACCCATACGATTCAATATATTGTCACCTCCGACGTAAGAGAAAAGAAGTGAATCCTCCTCTCTCCTGTATTCAGGAGAGGCAGAATCCAAATTGTTATAGACCCATAGCACTGCCACCAGTAGTGTCAGAAGTCATGGGAGGTGTTATAGACGACCGCATCAGGGAATATCCGGACACGAAGCAAGCACTGAGTGACGCTCAATATGGCTTCCGAAAGGGTGGGCCCTGCGTCTCCAACCTCCTGACGGCCCATGATCACTGGGCAGCGTGCTGGGATCGCAAGGTCCCGACCCACGCGGTTTTTCTGGATTTCGGCAAAGCCCTTCACACTGTCTCACACACCACCCTAACGCGCAAGATAGCCGGATTAGGTATACGCCGCCGGGTGCTATCACGGCTGCAGAACCACTCAGAGAGTACGGGGTTCCCCACGAAAGTCAACAGGAATACCCAACTTGGAGAACATCATCGTCGGGTGTCTCGCAAGGAGCAATCCTGAGCACATTGTTGTTCCTACTGTCCATAAATGGCCTCCCGCTGCATATCGGCTCTCCGATTCTCCCCTACGCCGACGACGTCAAGTTATGGAGAGCAGTAACTTGCATAGCGAAACCGAGCGCATTGCAGAACGACCTCAAAAAAACAGAAGAGTGGGCAACAAATAACGAACTGGCATTTAACCTGAATAAGGTCCGCTTCATGTTTTCCGGCACTCCTGGTCCCCAAAAAGTGTCCTGCTCTCTCTGTGGTTCACATCCATCCCATACCACACCGGAAAAAGACCTGTGTTTAACGGTGACGGAGAGACTGGACACCAGTTCCAATTACCCAGTTGACGCCTCAAAAGCACACTGTTTACTGCATCTTATGCGCAGACAACCAGCTGCCCTCGCCGCAGAGCTCGTTCTGAAGATCTACAAAACCTACATACGAACCCACTTGGAGGTCCATAATGTTTTCGCTCCACGACGATCTAAAGTAGGCACGAGCCTACCGGAGAAGGTTCAGAGGCAACGCAGCGAAAATATATGAGGATAGACTGAAAGACTTAGGCCTATACTCTCTTAGCTACCGAAGGTTACGAGGTGACTTGACAACGGCTTACAAAATGCTGATCTCTCAAGCCACCCGAACAGACGATTACTACCGAGAAGCCACTGTGGTGATCCTCGTGGAAATCCTAAGAGAATTTCCCACCAAAGGTCATAAACTCCCGTGCGTTTACACTTCCCCCCCCCTCTGAGTCCTTAGCCACTGGTATGCATTACCAGCGGTGGTAGTCTCCGCCCCATCTGTTGAAAGTTTCAAGAAAAGGCTGGACAGTCACGTAGACCCACGGTCTACCCACATGTAACCGGAACAGAGGAAACCTACTGCTGTCACGCCATTCCAGCTATCTTACCTCTACAACCGGTTTTCCTTCCACTGTGATCGTCCAAGCCCTTTTCATCCCTTCCACTTGCCATGAGTTAGCCCCACCCACCTAAGTTCTTCATATCGTTGCACCCCTTCTAGCCTTGCTTGGGTGTAAGCAGATCGCTCCACTAGTCCATTTTTCTTCTCCATTGTACCCACACAAATTTGCCCTCCTAGGTTTTCCCTTCACCATCCCCAACTCTCTCTAACGACCAGTCCGCACAACTGTCTGGCAACACGACATCTAAAGAGGCCAACTGCACCACAGTCCAAGGCGAACTAACCAACACCTATCCTCCTGTTCTGCATACCAGAGCTACAGTAGACGAGTGGCTGGATTCACTGCCGCCAAAGGCCTGAAAGACATGCAATTTATATAGGAACTTATTCATATCTGTAAACATGGTGTGCGCCTGGATATTCAGGAATAAATATTATCATTATAACTGTTCCGCAATACCAAGAAGAGGGCACGAAGAAATCAACTGGTTTGCATAAGCTCGTTAAACAGACATTGGATAATCGATGCGGTAATTTTGTAACCTGCGTCACATTTACACGAGATCTGCTAAGCTATAACTTCAACGTTGACAATAGTTTAACCTTGCACTTTTGAACTCCAGAGGCGCTCGGCTGCATCATAAAAGACTTTGTTTCGTTCTATGAAGTCCTTGGCCAGCTGCGGATCAATCATTAGGTATTGTTGCCGGTATCCACCTGTCTGTGTAATAGACCATTTTCCTGTGAACCTTTGACTACCTCACATTAGTTACCATACTGACAAAGAGTTTTTCTTGGTTCAGGTGACTACCCAAGATTATCCAAATACCAACATATTAACGGGACGCAGTGACGTCAAAATATCTCGAACAGAAAGCTTGGACAAGAAAAATGAATGCTCCATTTATCTGTTCAAAACAGACTCAAAACTCTCC